TTATTTTGCTATGGCTACAAAAATGTGGAAATAATGTGCCATGTGACAGTTGTTAATTCTTGCTCTGTAATTTTTCAGCACTTGAGTTTACTCCCCTATTGTTTTTCTAGGTTTCTTGTATCTTTTCTGCTACACATTTTTTTCTCATTGTTGAAAGCAAAAGGTTTCAGGAGAATTAAATAGTTTTCAAATAAGGGATCTTGCTTTTTTTGGCACTATGAATGTGGGAGAACTGGACCAACCCTTTTGTTAGAAGGCATTTGCTCTCCTGGTAACTTACTGGTTCCATCTGCATTGACTTCTTTTTGCTAAATTCCTCAGTATTTAATCAAAAACAGCCTGCTTTTGACATCACTGGAAAATCCAAATGCTTTTGTGCTTAACTTTTAGTTTTATGGGGTTTTCTTCGTATAGTTTCACATTGGGTTTCATTCATCCATTCTTACAACATTTAAGGAATAGCCACAGGGGACTGGCACCATGCAGGTTCCGGAAGAAATAGAGAGATGAGGATCCTGACAAGCATATAGAAGACACAGCCTCTATGTTCAACTTTGGGAGGAACCTATTCTTTTTTGGCATCGTGAAAAAAAGAGTACTAGTAAAAGGGAAGCTCTCTTGTACTTCAAAGGGTGTTTTGTGAATACATAAGACTCCCTGAGGGACCAGTCAAAGAGAAGTGGGGCTAAGATTAGAGTGAGTGGGTGAAGCTGCTTGTCTCAGAGAACAAGTCTAATGTTGAAACTCCACAGGAATAAACAACACAGGAATAACTCCACAGGCATAAACAACATCAGCTATGTGTTATATTGTCTGTGAAGAGGGCCGGATGGAGAAGAGAAGTAAGCACTGATTGATATTCACAAGGGACAGAGACTCATAATTTAAATAGAAACAAAGGCATAATTTCTGCACTACTGGTTTTGGGACCAGTCAGAAATTGGCAGATGAACTATAACCTCTCCTGGTTAATGGATCTTAGAGTATAAGCAAAACTATCCATATGCAACAATATAGCCTACAAACTAACAAAATATTACTTGATACTTTTTATTGATTTATGAAGTTGCTTACTATTAATTGGACCCAATTATAATTATAAAAGGAAGCATTGGATTGGGGATAGACATTGAACATCTATTATGGCAGAGTTTATTTTATAAAATGAAAATATTATAATATGAAATAATTTCAACATAAATAGACATTCATTATAAAGAAAATAATTTTCCCAGGAGACATTACCACATGTTAGTTGAAAATTATAAGTGGTAATACTTTTTTTGTTTTTTTGTTTTGTTTTTTTTTGTTTTTGCCAGTCCTGGGGCTTGAACTCTGGGTCTTAGTGCAGTCTCTGAGCTACTTTTGCTCAAGGCTAGCACTCTACACTTGAGCCATAGCACCACTTCCAGTATTGATACTTTGATTTTTTTTTTTGGTTGGTCATGGGGCTTGAACTCAAGGCCTGGGCACTGTCCTAGAGCTCTTCAGCTCGAGGCTAGAGCCCTACCACTTAAGCAATAGTGCCACTTCTGGCCTTTTCTGCTTATGTGGTGCTGAGGAATTGAACCCAGGGCCTCATGCTTGCGAGGCAAGCACTCTACCTCTGAGCCAGCTTCCCAGTCCCCAGTATTGATACTTTGAAAGTTTAGAATCAGTGCTAAGGTATCGAAGCTAGTAAAAATAGGTAGTTCCAACTCCTTCACATATCTCATGGTCAACAGATATCTAAACTATAATTAAGTGATTTTGATTTCACAAGACTGCTATGCCATTTTCTTTTATTTTTTATTAATAAGTTTTTTATTGTGAAAATACCCTACAGAGGGGTTACAATTACATGAGCAAGGTAATGAGTACATTTCTTATCAAGCATTGTTGCCTCCTCCATTGTTTCATTGTTTCCCCTTACCATCCCTGCCCTCCCATCCTTCCCCCCGCCCCCCCCCAGCCTCCTGCCCAAGTTGTAAAGTTTGTTTTTCATGTATGCACGTACACACACACATATGGTTTTTGTTTTTTTTGTTTTCTTTTTTGGGTCTGGTCGTGGGGCCTGAACTCTGGGTCTGAGTGCTGTCCCTCAGCTCTTCTGCTCAAGGCTAGTGCTCTACCACTTGAGCCACAGCGCCACTTCCGGCTTTTTTCTTTTTGCTTATGTGGTGTTGAGGAATCGAACCCAGGGCCTCATGCATGCAAGGCAAGTGCTCTACCACTGAGCCACCTTCCCAGCTTGTAAAGTTTGTTTTTCAACATAACATCTTGTACATCTCATTGTTGCAATGGGTCCACCTGTATCCGTACTTAAACAATTTGTTTTTTCCCTTCCCCTTCCAAAATTATACCAACATCAAATACAGTGAAAGCAGGGTTATACAATGGGGGAGGGACATACAAAGCAACAAAGAAATCATCTTATAAATATGTTAGAAACAATAGCAAGAAAGAAAAACCATTTGAGTCCTTATCTTGGGGTTCATTTCTCCTAACATCATCTTATCTGACATATGTCTCAGACATATACTAGTTATTGCAAATAAGGGAAACCATGGGACCTATGTTTCTTTGGCCCTGGCTTACATCACTTAATAATTTTTTCCAAGTCTTTCCATTTCCTAACAAATAGGACAATGTCATTCTTTCTGATGGAGGCATAGAATTCCATTGTGTATCTAAACCATATTTTCTTGATCCATTCGTGTACTGAGGGACATCTGGGTTGGTTTCATATCTTAGCTATGGTAAATAATGCTGCAATAAACATAGTTGTGCTGGTAGCTTTAGTATGGTCTTGCTTGTTATCATTTGGGTAAATGCCCAAAAGTGGGATTGCTGGGTCATAGGGAGCTGCTATGCCATTTTAATGTAAAGGTCTCCTTTGTTTATATATCTGAAAAAAAACCATATTCTGTCTTTATAGCATGGTTCCAAAGAATCAAAAGACTGTATGTACACACACACACACACACACACACACACACACACACACACATTCCTTTTATTTGTAAGGATTGTGTTTTCCTTGTATTGTAGCAATGCCAATATATGTAAGGGTATTATCCTTTTGTATTTTGAGGAAAAACAAACTAGAAACAGATTCAGAAACAGAGCAACCAAACCAAGTATAGAATATTATAAATTTGGAAAAGAAGAAATGGGAGCACATGCAGTAAGCAAACTCATAATTTTGGTAAGCCTCAATGTTACCACAACTATTAAAAGTTAACCATATACAATTTTACCTCCACAAACCACAGCAGTTACATTGAATATATTGTAAACTGTACAAATTTGGGAGGCAATCAACTATATGCAAGCAGAATATAATGTTAATATTGTAAAAGCTTCATCCTCAAGTTTATAAATCTACTCATTTCTAGCAACAAAAACAACATGGCAAGTATTTTATCTTCTCAAACTATATCAAGTAAAATGAATGTAATCAAAATGCATATGATTTCTATCTTAATATCAACCTTTTTCAAGAATAGATGTGTATTTGTTGCTCAAATATGTGTATATTTCCTATAACAAATATCAGAATTTTGAGGGTTATTTAAAATAGCATGTATTTATTCTATCAGTCTCACTATACAAAAAAGCCAAGGAGTCAGTGCACCTGTACTTCTTCCCAGTGTTCCAGGCTAGAATCGATTTGTGGCTTCCAACTTCACCTGCCATTGGCATTTCTTAGCTTGTAGTCACAATAGTTCAATCTTCAAAACCAATCTTTAGAACAGCCTTCAACTTTGTGCCACCTTTTCTTCTCTGTCTATGGATGTTAATTCCCCTTTTCTTCATATTATAAAGATCAATACTATTGTATTGCATTTACGTTATATAATAGAGCATTATATTCTTCACCTAACCACTATAAAGACACTATTCCTCTCTTCTCCTCTCATTAGTGTTCTTATCATGACTTATTTTTCACTTCACATGTATGAAACTGCTCCATACAATGAATTAATTAGCACACTTTCTGATTATTACTTCTGAAAGGAAGACATGTTGTGAGTGAAAATCCCTCTAGAACTCTCTTTGCTATGGAAACAACAAAGAAACATTCCAAAAATATCAGTTTGAGTCTCAAATTTTACATAGGGAAGAAGTTAAAGCCTGCTCTTGAAAGTTCATAGCTAGAACCCCTATAACAAAAAACAGAGAAAGAGAAAAGTCTAAGTATTTATTTGATATATTTATTACATAATATGGGAACCTTCATAAGGAAATAAATACCCAAAGAAATAGTTAAACCTAAGTATTTCTTTTTAATAGTAGGTTTGATGAAAAGTTTCCAGCTTATACAGAAGCATGATAAAGATACAAGATTATGAGCTAATAAGTATAATGAATTCAGAAGAACTTGGTAAACCTGCTCAAATTTCAAATGAACTTTGGGCTAAAGATGCTCCTATTCTCTGGGTATATGACAGGTACCATGTAAGTGTATATACTTCATGACTTAATGAAAAGTTTAATGGAAAGTTGACAAAAATCTTTCCTTGATTTTAGTACCTCCTTCAGGGAGAGCGGAGATTAGGTCAGGCTATCCATCTTGGCCACATGGTGGATGGGTAGGGTCTGGCATCTTGTCTTCATTGGGGAAGGGGAATCCCCTGCCTCCCAGGTGATGGGCATGCCTGAATCTCTAGAGGCTGGGGCAGGGATTTTGATGATGGATTACTAACCCTGTCAGTCCAGTGGCGTTTCCTGTGACCCTGCTCCCTGACCCTCACACTATTCAGGCCCAGACCAGCTCAGGCTTTTATGACAGGCAGGTGTCTCATGTTTTTGTCCCGTCTCCTGGCTCCTGGCTCTTTACCAGTCACCATGGCATCCCACTTCAATTCTCCATTGCAGCTGAACTGGTTTGTTGGTATTGCTTTTCTTGTTTCTTTCCTCTCTGGCCTTCATGACTCAGTTTACAAAAAGTATTAAGTGTATTTGCTGGTTGATGGTCTTTGAGACAGGAGTCCACCATGCAATCACCAGCCTTTCAATAAAGACTCCAAAATTCGACCTCTCAAAATGTGGCTTCTCTGTTTTTCTCATGACTGGATTTGTATCTGATTTAAGGTACAAGAGGAACATGGAAGAAACGTCCTGAGCACCTGTGGCTCACACCTATAATCTGAGCTACTCAGGAGGTTGAGATCTCAGGATTGTGGCTTGAAGTCAGACAGGGTAGAAAGTCCATGAGATTCTTTATCTTCAAAAAACTACTCAGAAAAAGCCAAAAGTAGTGCTGTACCTCAAAAGGTAGAATGCTAGCCTTGAGCAAAAAGAGGCTCAGGGATAGAACCGAGGCCCTGGACTAGCAAAAAAAAAAACAAAAAAGCAAGTGAAACAAACAAAAAAAATAGTAGCTAAAATGCCATATTTGAGGAGAATATGTTTTGAACCCTATAATATAATTTCATTGTTAGAATTAAAAAAATAAATTACTTAGACCTTGTTATCATGCTGATATTTCATTATAGAATGGGCGAAATAAACTTTATCTATATAGTCTGTACAAAATAATAAGATGATCACCATCTGGCTGTAGCTCGATAAATTACTGGCACAAGTCCTCTCGGGAAGTTTCAAATCTTAGCTTGAAATCAAATTTGTAAATTTTATATATTTTGAGTGTTAAAATTATAAAAGTTGGATCTTCTAAAGAAAGTATGTTGCTAAAAAAGAGATGAGAATCTAGGACATGTTTCTGAGAAATTCCAATATTTAAGAGCTAGCAGGAAAAGATATTTAAAAGTGTATTTAGAGGAATCTATTTCAGAAAGTAGAAAAATGTTGCTCTAAAAGATAATGAAAATTGAGTACTTTTAGATTTTTATTTCATTTTCACACTGTGGAGTCAGACAAAAAGTATATAGAAAACATGTCTCTATGTAGTTTCCTGTCATGCCCACTTCAAGTAGCCAAGTGCACAACTTCACTTAAAATTCTTTCCACATTGTAATGAGAAAAAACATTATTAATCAGTGATTTCGCTCCAATGCTTTGCTCGTTCTTATCTTCAACTTGCAGAACATACACTGAATATTTGGAAGCTCTTCACAAAATATTTCCTAGCAAAACTGTGGCCTTCACAGTACCTCATGAAATAAAATAATGCTCGTTTTGTTTACTGTGTTTTATATTATTGGCATTACATGCTTGTTTGTTTTGCTTAGGGTATTGATTTGGAAGAACTTGAATACATGGTTTGAGCTGGTCATGGTTTTCAAAAAAGTCAATAGTGCCAGATTCAAAAGCGTAGCCCATTTTACAAATCTAGTGACTGTGTAATTGAATTAAAGTTACAATGACATTTTTTAAACACCACAATCCCTAGCATTCTTTTTTTTTGTTTTTTCTACATTAATGATGACCATTTTATATACTCACATCTTGAATATATTTTCTTGCCACAGACAGACTTTCTTATAAGGAGAAGATGTTAAAATTGAGCAACTTTGTAGTATATATATATTTTTTTCCTTATCATTAATGCTTAAATCTATTAATAGTTATATCAAGTGTTTGCATTCTCCAGTTCTAAGAGGTAATTTTATATTGTTATGTACAGTCAGACAGTATTGTATTCAAAACCAATCTACTTTAATATTAAGTACCTGTCATTTTAAAATTAAACAACATTTTCAAAAGAGATGATGTATATGAAAGCATCTTGCTAATACTTTAGAAACTTAACAAGTTTATGCTTATTTAATGTCTATTTTTACTTGGGGTTTGGGGACAGATAATGTGTATTTCTGAGGTATAAATGTTTAAAGAACACTTTATCAAATACTAGAATTAGTCCAATCTTTATATTAGCTTTCCTTTGTTATCTTTAACAACATATTTCAGAACTGATTAGCATTTCTAGGAAAAGAGAAGTTTAAAAAAAAACTATAAAACTAAAGATAACTCCTAATACTTCCTCTTCTTTTAATTAATAAAAGATAACTACACTTAGTGGCTCACATCTGTAATGCCAAGGGGTGATGGAGATAAAAGTTCACAAGACCCATCTTAACAGAAAAAAGGGGAACATGGTGGTTCCATCTACCTGTCATCCCAGGAAGGTGGGAGGCTAAGATCTAGAGAATTACAGATGTAGGCAAGTCTGGGGAAAATTTTCACCCATCTCAACAGAGAAAAGTTTGACATTGGGGATATACTTTTCATCCCAGTTATAGGAGTCATAAATAGGAAAATCATAGTCTACATTGGCTGGGGCACAAAGTGAGACCCTATCTCAAAAGTAATGAGAGCAAAAATAGGCTATGGGCATGGAAAGACTGGTAGAATGCTTCCTAAGCAAGCACAGGACCCAATTTCAAAACCCCAATATTGCCAAGAAAAAGAGAAATAAAGCTGAGTAAGATAACACCCAAAGTATTGTCTTGAAAAATAACTGATATATATGTATATTTAGTTTTACATATCTCATCCAGTGACTTCTTGATCATCATCAAAGTATACAAAGAAATGTCTTTGGGTTGCATTTACTTTAATTTCAGCATCTTTAATATTTGTGTACACCAGATGAAATCAGTCTCCATCTAGCCTCCCACCAAATCCCTTTAACATCTCTGTCATATAGAAGGAGTGAAACAATATGTAGTTAACATCACTAGTTGATTTATTTTCAACAATATATTATATATGAATTCAAGCCCCAAACAAATTTTTTTCATAAAAATATTTTATGAAGATATTTTTTATAATATTAATGTATTCCTTAATGCTCTAAAGCATTCAAAGAAGTGGCTAATAATAAGCTTCTTTTTTTTTTTAGAAGAACTGAGAATAAATTTACATACATAAATCACTTCACAGGTGATATTTACTATAAGTAAAATTTTGATCAGATTTATCTCAAACTGAATGCCTGTAGTATTCATTCCCTTTAAGTCTCTTCTGAACTACTTTTAGTTCACTTTAGTTCACACTAGTTTATTTCTAGTGTCTTACCTATGGGCAGAAACAAATCCCCATTTCCAGTTGATTTAGAGCCTGCACTCTTCAGTTCTTCCCATGGAAACCGAATGAGAAATACAGACATTTCTTCTGGTTGCTCACAAATTGGGTCTAATTTTTTTGGTAAAGACCTTGGTTGCCACACAACTCAGCTCTGCCTGCTTCAGAGTAGCCTGACTGAAGGAGCTCCGGGTCCCCTCTCCTACAGGAATGAGAAGATATGGATGCTCCTTCTGCAGGCACTCTTTGTCAACGCTCAGCCTCCCTGTCCATTTAGTCATTTGGCAATAGCATTTTGGGCTTTCTTTTAGTCATTTGCAAGCGCTTCCCATTTCAAGCCTGGTAGTTGTGAATCACTACTTACTTGATTCTCTTTCCCTCCAGGAAGAGAACTACCCTTCTACAAAACAGGTTCATATGACTCTGCCTTGCTTGGCTATTGATCATATATATACATTTTTCACACTTGATATAATTACAATCAGTCCCCAAATGATATCTTCAAATTGCTTGCACAACTAATCTCCTTCCCTTAGCCGATGTATCATCCTCTTTCGTTTATTTCTTCTTGTTTCCTTGCCTTGTGCTGTTTAAACAGGGAAGAAGAGAACAAACCACGGTAGTTCTTCTCCTTCCCCTTTATATCACCTCCCACCTTCAGTGAGGTCTCCTGGCTTTACCAGATTATACTTCCATTGATATTTATACCACTGAGTCCAACTTTGATTTTCGTTTCCCAGTAGTTACTCACTTGGTTGTGATTGCTCTACATACATATACAGCTTCAGAGAATCTGGGATGGTGCTGAGCCAGGTGCCTGTGGCTCACCTTAAATCCTAGCTATTGAGGGGGCTGAGTGTGGTCAAAGCCACCTGGGCATAGAAGTTTATGAGCGCCATCTCCAGAATAATCAGCAAACATGCTGGGTTGGATGCACAACTCAAGTGGTAGAGTGCCATCTAAGCAAGTGTGTTGCCTAAGCAAGTGTTTGCCGCAGTCTGGATCAGACTGCGGCAAAAAAAAAAAAAAAAAAAAAGAAACGTGGGGGAGCTGAGAAGGTGGCTCAGAGGCAGAGCGCTTGCCTTGCATGCCTGAGGACCTGGGTTCGATTCCTCAGCACCACATAAGCAAAAAGAAAAAAGCCGGAAGTGGTGCTGTGGCTCAAGTGGTAGAGTGCTAGCCTTGAGCTGAAGAGCTGAGGGACAGCGCCCAGGCCCAGAGTTCAGGCCCCACGACCGGACCCCCCCCCCCCCAAAAAAAGAAAGAAACGTGGGGGTGAGGGAAATAAAATGAAGCGGTAACAAAATAACATGGGTTTGTAAAGAATTGTTTAAGATGGAAAAGTCTCTGGACACAGCAGAAAAGAATAGAGAGAAAATAAATTAGTAATTATGATTAACCATTGCTAAATACCTTGGGAACACATAAGAAAAATCACATCAGCAGTATAAGCTTGTGCTCACGAGGAAAGAGCTCCATAACTTGAACTAGGCTTGTAGCTCCTTTTGCTTTGTTTTTCAAACAAGGTTTCTTTCTTTCTTTCTTTCGTTCTTTCTTTCTTTCTTTCTTTCTTTCTTTCTTTCTTTCTTTCTTTCTTTCTTTCTTTCTTTCTTCCTTTCTTCTTTCTTTCTTTCTTTCTTCCTTTCTTCTTTCTTCCTTTCTTTCTTTCTCTCTTTCTTTTTTTCTTTCTTTCTTTTGTCTAGGGCTATCCTTGAAAGATAATCTTCCTACTTTCACTTCTCACACTGGTATTACAGGTATGCTTTACCCCCCACTAGCTAAAATGTTGTATTCCACTTGGATCTCATTGTATTTATATCAATCTTCATGTGAGAGATTCACCAGGTAATTGGGAAGTTATTCCTTTATCTCCTTAAGTTTCTTCTCAAATCTGGTCAGTATTATGTTTTTGAGATTTATGCAAAGCTAAAATAATTCAAACATCTTTGTTGGCATTGGATATTAGGAAACATTTTAATATGACTCAATTGCATCAACTCTTTTTTTTCACAGAAAAGAGTGGTATAGGAATATCTTCCTTCTAAGAGGTTAAACATAAATGCATGGTATTTGTATTACAAAATAAAAAAATTTTTAAATGGGGGGAAAATTGGATAACTTACCTAGCTATCCTTGATTTTAATCACAGTTTTGATGACATTGTAGAGGACAATAGCATTTAGAAAATATTAAGAATGAGTGGGCAGTCTGCAAGGCCCTGGCTTTCACAATTGTCTGCAGAGAGCCCTGTGTTTAATACTTCAAATGTGCCTGAAAAAACATCACTGAATTCTGCTTTATTCACAATGAAAGCATTTTACTTAGCTGTTCTTAAGAAACTTCCCTCTTTGCCTAATATTTCTATTCTTGGAAATATAAGAAGAAAAATAAATGATTTCACTGCCTATTCACTCAATAAATGTCATGTTTTGAGTATGCTTACCCAGTCTTTTCATCTCCAGTGAAAATGATAAAGTACACAGGGAACGACTCCCTAGCATGCTCAGCTAGCACTAACCCAGGGTCCAAGGCACAATGACCTCCATGAGAAAGCGGCAGACATTTATATTTCAAGTGATTTCTTTAGAAATTGAATTTAAAGACATGGCCAAAAGGAACACAAGTTACTGTTTCATTTGAACACCTGCTGTTAGCTCCTCATTTCAATGATACATTCTTACACTTCTTGATGTCATTATTAGAATTAAATTTCTGTGTTCTAGTCTACTAGTGTCTTACCAGAAGACAAGTGTTCATTTTACTATTGCCTAATATAGTCTTATAAAAAAGTTTATCATACTAATACCTCTTCTTGCCTCAAAGAAGAGAGCAGATACGCATCTACCCTACTCTTACTCTGTTATATGTGACTAAATACTTAATGTAACACTACTTTTTATGTTTCCAAATTAGTAATTGAAATAAAAACATTTACTAAATAGCAATATCCTATGTCTTTAGTTTATGACAACTTTATTAAGGAAAAGCAAATTAAAATGTAAGTTTACGATAACTCCCCTAATTTCACTTTGCTAATAAGTGACAAGAGAAGATTTCTAAATAACCTTAATACAGGGAATAACCCCAAAATGCACATACAATTCAAGACTTTTTGCCTGAAAGGCTAATGTAGGTAATTGTGCAAATGGCTTTTCATAATTACTGATATATGTAGGAATTATATGCTAAGGGGTTTCTTATATTTCCATATATGCCTACAATGTGCATTGTCATATTCACCCCTCTACTGTTTCCTCCTATCCCCTCTTCCCCCCCATCCCCTTTCCCTTCCAGATAATTCTCTATTTTCATGACCTCTTTCTATCTTTGATTTTCAGCTTCTAACCTACATAAATGAAAGAATACCTATGATATTTGTTTTTGTGCTTCTCTACTATTTTACTTAGGATGATGATCTCCAGTTCTATGCATTTACTAACAATCTACAAAATTTCATTTTCTAAGTAGATGAACAAAACTTTATTTTTTTTAATTTTTATTTTTTTGTGTGAACATACTGTACAGAGGGGTTACAATTACATGGGCAAGATAATGAGTACATTTCTTATAAAGCATTGCAGCCTCCTCCTTTGTTTACCCTTCACATCCCTTACCAGCCTCCCCCCGCCCCCCCCCACCCAATCCCCCTAAACAAAACTTTATTGTGAATACATACCACATTTTTTATTCTTTCACCCATGATTGTCACATATGATGATTCTATGATTTGGGTATTGTAAATAATGTTGTGTTAAACTTGGGTATACAAATATTTCTGTAGTAAATAGATTTTTTAAATT